ATTGATAACGATATTACGATAAGCATTACTAAGCAAATTATTGGCAAATGTATTAATAAGCAAAAATTTTATTCGGTATTTTATTTTTACATAAAACAAAAAGGTTTGATTTTTGAAATAAGTAGATAAGTCCGTTTATTATTTAAAAATTATATAATTTTAGAATTGCATGATAATTTATAATTACAAGTTTTCTATTTGTATTAAAAGTCTTTTTCTCTATACTTTATTCCTTACATTACGATTTCTATATTTTTTCCAATAAATAAAACCACCAATACCAACGACAGATAAAGAGAGAAGCACCAATATAACGACGAGAGCGACATTTGTTTTAGGTCTTCCAGGAGGTAAAGTAACATAATAAGGATCTTCTTTAGCATTAATAACCTGATAAGCCATTAAACTTTGAAAGGGAGCATTATAATCTAAAGCAACTTCAGATTGTTTATAATCCTTTCTATCATCTTTATACTCGTCATGTTTAGAAGGACCACCTACAATACTTCCATAAAGAACATGCATATTCTCACGTGGATTATTTATATCGGTACCCCCATGTGCACCTGAATGATGAGGATCTTTAGGAGAATTTGGATGAATTCCTACAACATAAGGAGTCTTCATAGGATTATCTCCTAACAAGTAATTAATTTGCTTTGCGGCAAACTTGATATAATCATCTTTCTTAGAATCGGACGAACTGAATGGGGAATATAATAGCGACACGAAAGCAGCATTTAATGCGGGATTCAAAGAAGCGGCACCACTGTCACCTTCACAAAAATATAATCCACCTTTCGTGAAATGACATCTATCATCAGGAGATACTACAGCATCTAAATATCTTTCTGCTTCAGCTTTCCAAGTATCGATATCATTTCTTTTTAATTCCGTAGCACATTGTACAAATAAAATATATGATGCGCCAGTTTTATCATCCCAGTTAATCACATTAACTTGTCCAGATAATTTAAATTGTTGAAAGTAATTTACCGCATTATCAAAATATTGTGGATCTTTCGTTAATTTGTATAACCAGAGACTACTCCATACCAATTCATCTTGATAACCATTTGAAGAGTACATGTCATCAGCCTCTTTAACCGATGTTTGATATGTTACGTATGGCTGTTGGTTTGCGAAATCATATAATTGTTTAGCATGAAAAGATAATGTATTAGCGTAATCTTCATCTTGTACTTTATCCTTAAAGAATAATGATGCAGCTGCCATCGCAGCAGCCGCTTCTGCTGCAGCATCATTTCCATGAGAAGAATTATTTATATTAAAAGAAGGTCTTGGTAATGGTATGTTAGTGTCAGGACCCCAATAATTATGATCGATATTCGCCGTTCCTACCATAACATATAAAACATCTGGATCGGAGTGTGCCTTAATTAACCAATCAGTTCCCCATTTAATCATATCTCTTATTTGAGTAGTTTGACCAGCAGTTTGATATCCTTCATACCATTCATAAGCGCCCCATGATATGGAGGAAAGGGTCCATGATAATGGAAAAGTAAATTTTAAATGATCTCCAGCGTCATAATAACCTCCTACCAAATCAACTTTATTATCACTACCATCTTGTAATGCCGAGTCACTTCTCCAAGTTATTCGATTATCGGGAGGTAATTTTCCACTTCGTTGTGCCTCATAAAATAATAATGAGTATGATAATAATTTTGAGTATTCGTAATTTTTTTGGTCGGGGCCTGGTTGCGGGATACCTGGTATGTCCGTTGGTGCTGGTGTCGCATAATTTTTCGAATCTTGCGCTAATACTATTTTAATTACTAACGTTATAAATATGGGTAATAATAAGGAAAACTTATACATTTTCGATTGTTTTCCCTTTTATTTTTTTAATTTACTATGAAAAAAAAAATAAATTATAAAGGATGATTAATAAAAAATAAATTTCAAGAGGACATATTTATACTTAAAAGTGCTGCAATCAATAAATCGTCATACCATGATATTTCATTTTAAAATGGTAAAATAAAATTTTATTGTATTTTTTTTTTTTTTTTTATGTTGTTTAAACGAAAAACAAAGATGCCAAGAAAATGGAAAGAATGCAGTTACAGTCACAAATGATACTTTATTTCCCCTTTTCTTTATAATTTAATGTTTAAAAATAGTATTGATTTACATATCTATTTTAATTGGAATTCCGGAAATTCATATAACTTTATAAAAAAACCATATTTAGGATATAATATAAATTATGTTTCACGCAAACAAAGGAGAATTTTTCAAAATAAATCATTTATTTATAGCTGTTAAAGCGAATCAAAACAATTCTTTGTATGATTTTGACTTATGGTAATAAAATAAATTAATTAATTAAAAAAAAAACCTAATCGTTTATCTTATTATGATAAGAAAAATTTGTCTTTTTTTGAAAAAAAAAAAAAAATAATATTTTTAAAGATCATCTCTTTTTCATCACAAGTTCAGCATCACGACGATACCTGATCTGTTTTGACACTCGGTAAAAATATATTTATAGCTTTAGGTGACCTTTTTTCAACAGCTCTAATTTCATATTCTGCCGCTCTTGAGAATTCTAACAACATCTCGAAAATATTAGCTGACGCATAGTTTCTATTACGTTATTATTAAAGGAAAGGTTATGGTTAAAAAAGTACATTTGATCAAAAAAAAATAAATAATTAATTAATTACTTTAAAGTCATATACCGTATGAAAAAGATAAAATATTGAAAATTATGAAAAAATGATGCGCAGCATCCGCATGAGTACCACGTGAAGAATGAATTTTTATATTAAAAACGAAGTCTTATTTTTGTCAGATCTCCCAACTTCTGTGCTTAACCAATAAATTCAACATTTTAATCATATCAACTTATCTGGTAGTTTGATATCCTTCATCCCATGATATGATGATATGGAGGTAAGGGCCCATTTAAATGAAAAGTATAAATTTTTTTTTTGGTTATGTGACACCTGATGCCCATTGGTTCGTTAATTGCAATCGCTATAATACATATGAGTAACAATAAAGTCTTTATACATTTTCTTTTTTATTTTTTCAGATTAATGAAAATCACATTTATATGAAGAGAGTGCATCAAATCGTTATTAAAACAAATAATGATGCCAAGAAATTTTCATAACATTGCATTCACGAATGAAACTTTATTTCCCCCTTTCTTTATCATTCCAAAAAAAAAAAAAAAAATTTCGGAACGATTGAACAGATTTTTAAAAATAGCATTGCATTGACTTTTACTTGGCATTTTCCCATATCGTAACCATATTTAGTCACTATAAGAATTTTTTTTCATCAATCAAGGAGCAACAATAATGTTATTTATATGTATTATTTTTTATTTTTTTTCTTTTATATAACGGCAAATAAAACAATTATATATATTGACTTTTTAATTATTATAGTAATAAATTAACGTTGATGTGATTATTTCAAATTACGTCACCCTATATATAATTCTATTATCGTTTATCCTAATTATGATATTAACATTACTTTCGAAAAAATTGTCTTGTTTTGAGGAGGAAAAAAAAAAAAAAAAGAAAAAAAAAAAAAACCTTAAGAGATTACACAATCATCTCTTTTAGGTTTCTTTTCATCAATAGGTGCACCACCTTTTAACCTTTGTTGAGCTCTTTTATCACCATGTTCAGCAGCACGACGATACCACTTATTTGCATCCAATTGATCTTTTTTAACACCGATACCTACTTCGGTAAAATATCCAACAGCATATTCAGCTTTAGGCAACCCTTTTTCAGCAGCTCTTTTCGCCCATAAATAAGCTTCTGTATCACTTTGTGGTAGTATTCCAGGACTACCAACAAGATACCAAGCTGTTAGAGCGAAACAAGCTTCTCTGTGATCTTGTTGTGCTGCAATGGTATAATAATGAATTGATAATGCAGCATCTTGTGGGCAACCCATTTTACCGTATTCATAGTATTCTCCTAATTTAAATGCTGATGGTGCATAATTTAAATTTGCCGCCTCTATAAGTAATTGTACCGCATATTCTATATCTACAAAACATACGTTATCAATACCCTTCTCATGAAGTTCTGATAATTCATGTAACGCATGTGGAAATTCTTCATTTGCATTTTCTGCTGCTCTCTTGAGATATCTTACACCATCACGAGGATTTTTGGCTAATCCTAATTCCCCTTTTAATTCAGCAATACCTAATCTATACAATGCTCCAGGATGACTAGATGATGCTGATTTTCTATTATGTTATTATTAAAAGGAAAGGTTCTTATTAGTAATGATTTTTTTTTAAAAAAAAGTACATTTTGATCCGAATAAAAAATAAAATATAAATAAAAAATAAAATTAAATTACTTGAAAAATTGTTCGGCTTTTGCAAAATCTTTACGACATCCCCAACCCTGTTCATAACATACGCCAGCGCGATAAGCAGCATCAGGGTGACCATGTTTACTAGATTGTACAAACAGAGGAAAAGCTTTGTCAAAATCAGGTTTATTTTTTGAAGTACCTATAGCACTTGCATAGCAATCTGCAAGATAATATTGTGAATTAGCATGGCCTCTATCAGCTAATTTTCTTAAAAGAGCTAAACCTTCTTTAACTAGGTCGTCTCTTTTTTTTGCTTCTTCCTCGTTCATGGCTCTTGAAGCTTCTACCATAAAAGCCGCAAATTCAAACTGAAGGTCGGGATCATTAGTCTTTTTAGCATTTTGTCTATATAGTTCTAAAGTTTGCGAATGTGAAAGTAACGAGGCCTTATGGCCCGGTTTAAGATGAGATTGGTCTAATAACGGTGTTTCGACTGGCATAACACACGATGAAAGTCTTGGATTATTATTATTATTATCCTGTGGTAATGGAGGTGTCGGTGGTGGTACGATAAGAGACATTTAAGAGAAGAGTAGATATATATATTTATATATATTAAATGTAGTTTTTTTTTTTTTTTATCTATTGAATGAATAGTTACTCAAATAGAAAGAGATTTTTTTTTTTAAGGTTTTTAATCTTTGTAATAGGATTTTGAAACGAAATTTTTGTAGTGGCGGCAGTTTGGGGCATAAAAATAGATATTTAAGTGATATGTATATATATATACACAAATTAAATTAAATAATTATATGTTATTTATATATATTGTTGTAAAGAGTAAAAAAAAGGAAGTTGTCGTGTGATAATTTTCCTCTTTTACTTGAAAAGGGAAAAGGTATAAATCGGAAGAAAGAGAGAAAAAAAATGTAGGGTAAGGATAATAATGATATAATGATAAAATGATATAATGATATAATCACTTATTACTCTATTTATAATGAAAATAATTCTCTTGATATTGTAGCACATACAGATGGGTAAATAACTAAACGAATTTTTTTTGCAACGAGTAAAATTGCACACTTCCAATCCGAAATGATTGATGTAAAATCAATAATAATGCAAGATTATGCTTTCACCAAATTTTTTTTTTTTTTTTTTTTGTTTGGCTTATTAATAACAATTTTTATGATGGAACAAAGGCTTTTGTCAAGATTGTTTTTTAAAAAGAAAAAAATTTTTTTAAAAAACAAAATAAGTAACCATCGATTGTCATGTCATTTTTTTTTGGGTTTTTAAGTACGAGGTCTTATGATTATGATCGGAAATATCACGAAAATTTTTTGAAAATCGGTTTTCCATTTCTGGCAACTAAATCATGGAAATCATGAGATGTTTCCTTTTCTGAAAAAGAATTTACGTCAACCGAACTTTGTGTAATGAGTTTATACAAATCAAGTATAAGGTTAAATTTGTGAAATAGTATTAAAGGAATTTTGTAATCTCAGATTTCATCATGACAACATCGCCATACTTCTATGTTTACGAGTTATCAAGTTTCACATTCCAAGCCTTAAACTTTTTTTTAAAAAAAAAAAAAATATTTATAATTCGTTAAATTGAATTCGCTCTTAAAATAACGTAATTGGTACATTTATTTGATTACCAAACCAATTAACTGAATCCTTATATAAGTAGATCACAACAATAATACTTAATCTCACAGCTTTATTGAACTAGACTCATTGTTCTTTTTTAAACCCAACGCCATTCGAGTCTTCCTGATTAACTTCATTTTCCGAAGAGTTTAAAAATTTTGTCCACCGTTCAGCAAGAACCTTTTCACGTTGTATTAAAATCGGACTTAACTCTCTAATTAATGCTTTCACAAATTGTGTATTGGCGATAAAAGTGCTTAATCCCACAACGATAAAAATATATCGCCATGGAACAATCCATACCGACAGACTGAGAAATGTTAAAACTACAATAACAAACTGTGTGATTTTCAACGTCTCATATCCATTACTCCAATCCACATGTTTAAGTAAAGGAACAAACGCGTCATACCCATCCGAAATCATTCCCATAAGGTTTTGTATATTTTGCATATTCTTCAAATAATCTACGGAATTTTCTGGAGGAAGGTAGGGATCGGTGTGCTTTGAATTACAGAATCCCTTATTTCCACCATCTTTTCCAATCTCGTCCATATTTGGTCCATCAGGATATCTTTTTTGAAAATAGGAAATTAAGATTGAAAGCATTCCAATCAACGGTAAAAGTATCAACAATTGTGGGTATAAACCTAATCAAGTGATTTAAATTTAGTAAATTCAAAAAAAAAAAATAAAAATAAAAATAAAATATGATACACACAAACATATACAAAGATAACCATGGCCAATAAAGTGTTTGGTGTATTTTTCCACATAATTAAGTCTTCAACAGCATTTTGAAGTTCAAAAATAAAACCACATTTCTGTACAAATTTTCGAAAATTATTCGTTGTCGTATTCAAATTCAATGGTGGATGAGCTGAATCAGGTTGTGATTTAGAAGAATTAGAAATATTAATCATGGAAGACACAATTAAATCCTGAATTACTTTTGTATCAAATGACGATTTAGTTGGTGATATGGGTTTTGCGGCCCTTGGAGCAGCGAATTGTGTTGATTTGGATGATGAATTAAGATTTGCAAGTGTCGCATAAGACTGTAAAGGTTTATGAACTTTTGATTTACTAGGGGAATTGGAAGAGAAATTTGCGATTGAATCCGCGGAATTGGAACGTCTTAATATCTTTCCGGATAAATTATGTTCCTGTTCTTGAGAAGAATTTTCTTCCTTTTGATTCTTATCAAAAGCAACGTTGATTTCTGGGAGTGATTCGGATGCTAAATTATTGGATCTTGTTCGTTGAATTGGTATAGGTTCATTTTGATGAATAATTGGTTCGGATTTTATGGACTCGGAAACTCTTTTTACTTTTTTACTGGGTATCGTACGGCTCGCAGCAAGAGAATCGGAATTACTATGAAACGGCGTTTCGGATTTTCTACAATACTTGCTTGATAGTTCTTGACAACTATTATGTGAAACATAACCACACACTAATTATATATATATAAATATATATATTTGTATTTTATAAAATAGAATTATGATCATTCTTTTAACCCAGTTTCAAGGTAAATTGATTTTTCGTTGAAAAAAATCTGATCGCTTTGTTTTCTTTTGAATTGATAATTACCTCGACAACAAACACCTTGCTTAATCAACCCCCAAAGCAGTTTATTGCAATTGTCACAATAGGTTGGTTTTGAAAAGGTTGTTTCTTCGAAATCATGAGGTAAAGCGAATGGCATATTTTTTTTTACCGATTCTCGAACCATTTTTTTTTTTCCTCTCTTCATTTATATTTAATGTTTGGGCGTTTTAACATTTGATAATCCGATGACATTTATTATGTAAAGTTGTACAGGTCGCCACATTAAGCATCGTCTAAATTAGGTAATAACAAATCCTGTAAGGGAATAGTCAGCCTAAGATGACTCCTTTGTGAAATATTACGAGCAATATTAATATCTCTATCAAGGTTTGTTTTACATTGGGGACAGCAAAACACCTTAGATCCACCTAAGCTGTCTATGAATATAGCTCGATCCACAAGTTTTAATAGAAATTACTACCTTGACACTTTTCATTGGAAGACTTTCTTCTAATTGGTTTAAATATTGATCAGCATTTCTATAATAAGTACGATCCGACAAAAAGGTTTGACCAATAATAAAATAATAAATATGATCACATGATCTTCACCATATACAGAAACAGCCCTAGAGTCGCCTAGAAAAAATGGTAGCCGGATTTTAATTGCCGGGTAACATATACTTATTAGGGGTGACATATAATTGTGACAATTAGCATTTTTTTCTCTCTAAGTTTCTAGAATACTTAGTAAATTGAAGACGGCTGGAATGTAATACAAAATGTGATAAATTTGCTAACCCTCTTAAACTAATCCTAATTCTACTCTAATCCTAATTCTAATCCAAACCCTAACTCTAATACTAACCCTAATAATAAATACCCAGCAAATAAAATCTGACTACCATTTTTTCTAGGTGATGTTAGGTAAGTTTATATACAGACATAATTATAATATTTTATATAATATTTTATAGTTATTCACTTTTTAAATACAAGTTATATAACTTTTTAGATTACAGTTGATCTTCTAGTTACTCTTCTCTTATAAGTATTTTTGTTAGAACTAAAGTTAATATTAATAATAGATATATCTATTGGTATAATAATAGATAATAGACATATTTTCTTTATATCTATTATGTTGTCTATTATATTCATTATAATTGTTATAATACAAATCACAATTAAATTTAAATGAAAGAGTTAAAATATAAAAGAGAACAAAATTGTATGATTTTTAATAAAAGCTCTTTTGAACATAATGATATATGCAAGAAAAAAAATGCTATATTTATTAATTTCATAGTTTAAAATGAAAAAGTAAATAAAAATAATAAGAAGTCTTTTGTTTATTTTATATTAAATATATAGGACAAAATTTCTTATTAAAAGATGAAAGTAATAAAATTACAAATATTCAATATTATAGTTATAAACATCTTCAATTAATATTTAATACTTTAATTTAAAATATTTATTTATTTTAATTAAAAATTGATAATGATTCTGAAATTCTAAATAAAAATCTATATTATGAATTAAAAAATTACAATATAATTAAACTCAAATTATATAATACATTAGAAAACTATTAACTACAATAAAATTTTAATATTTGAAAAAAATTAATATGTATAACTGTATCTAATAAATTTCTTTTTCATTTGATTGATAATTATAAAATCCATAAAATTTTTAAGTTTTTTCACCTTTTTTAGTATTATCTGATTGATGTATTTTTGCTGATCAGATTTTAAATGCAATAACTAATGATGTTTAATCAAATATCCAGTATAATACTTCAAATGATAAAATTGAAGTAACTATAACTTTTGATAGTTAGAAAAATATAGTAGAATAAGAAAGTATAGATATTATTTTAATTACTTCAAATAGTCTGTTTTTGTGTAGAATGCAAAAATATAAGTGATGAACATCAGTATACAGAAGAAGTAATTAAAAAAATAAAATTACTTTTGAAAAAAATAACATCATAAAATATTTAAATAAATGTATTAATGACAGATTTGCTGAAGATTACATATTTACTAGTATTTATATATTTATATTAAAATAATTTTACTTTATTTATAAATTTTAATTAAATTTTATTTATTAATAAGCGTCAAATAAAATTTATTTATTGTAAAATAGTATTTTATTATAATAAGCTAATTATTATATAAAAGAAATTTTTAAAAAATCTCAAATATATAAAATTATATCTAATTGTATTATCTGATTTATTAGTTTTTTCATTCATCAGTTTATTTTACTCAAAAATTTTAAAATGAACAAATAAAACTTTATAAAATCTATTACTCTTACAAGCCTATATTCAATATATTAAAATAATTATTTTAATGCTTTTAATTCTCTTTTAAAAATAAAAAATATACTTATAATAAGTTTAACATTTATTATACTAATAAAAATAAACTTTAATTACCATTTGATATTTCTATTTTTATTAATAATAATATTTTTGGATAAATTTAAAAAAACACTTTTTTTATAAAATTTTAAATATTATATAATGAAATAAGGTTTATTCTTTAAGTAATACTCTTTTTAATTATATATAAAATAATAAATACTAATTTATTTTCATAATCAAATAATTAAATATTTTAAATTATATTGAATTGGTTGGAAATAACTATTATTAATACTTTTTTAACTCTTTATCTAAAATATTAATTAGAAATATTTTTATTTACAGTTATAAACTTAATAATATATTTATATTTTAATTATTTATTAATCTATTATTATAAATTTTAGTTTAAAAAAGATTCAACTATTATTCTTCAAGAACTAGAAAAATTTAAAAAAAAAAAATATCTATTTTATAATAAAAGATTTAAACAATTTAATAATATTGTAGAATAGTAGAAAACTATTTTTAATATGGCTTCAGAGTTAAGTAATTTTACTAGTCATTTATTTAAAAAATATATTAATACTACATTTTGTGAAAAATTGTTTTCTATAATGAGATTTTACATTCTAAAAGATGTAATCAATTATAAGTAAATTAAATTAATTATATATTATATATATAATTTAATTTTATTTTTATTTAGTATAAAAAATTTTAAATACAAATTAAAATTATTAAAAAATATAAGTTTAAGAATATTATAAAGAAATAAAAAAAATTATTTATAAAAATATGTGATAAAAATATTTTAACTTCTTTTAATGCTAAATTAAAGATAAATAAAAAAATACTTAATAATAATAATGATAATACTAATATTAAATGAAATACAATAGCTAGGAATAGTTGAAGAATAATTTAATTTATTAAGTGATGAAAATCTAGAAGAAGAAATTAATATTAGAAGAGTTAAAAGTAAAGACTTAGATGATAATGATAAAATTTTATTAGATGATTTAAAGATAAAATAGAAAATTAGAAGATTTGTTTATTTTTAATTAAGATATTTTATTTTTAAAAATAGTTTAATATATAATTTTTTTTTTTGATAAAAATTAAAATAAATAAATAATAGTAAATTTTAAATAAATTTTATTAATTTTTTTTATTAATTATATATTAATAAATATAAGTAAACTTAATAGATAACAATAAATACCTTAATTATATGGGACCTTTGCAATAGAAAGGGGGGAAACTGCCGGAAAAAATCAATTTTACTTTTATATGCCAAATATGATTTTTAAGTCAAAATATGTTCAGATTTAGCATTAACTCAATTTTTATTTTTTCCAGCTGTTTCCCCCTTTTCTATTGCAAAGGTCCCATATATCTATTACTTATCAATAGAATATATAGTATTTTTTGTTTAATATTATCTATTGTCTATTTATCTAGTGATGATATTATTAGTCAAAGTTAATAATAAATTTATTAAAAATCTTCTTTTATAATTATATTATATACCTTTTTTTAATTACATTAACTTTTTTTAGTTTTGAAAAATGTGATTATATTAAAAAAATTAACTGTAAAACAAGTTTTATAATAATATAAAAACTTTTAAACTTTATTATTATAAATCACTTTTAAGTAAAATCAGATTTATTTTAAATTATATAAGTAATTAATTAATATTTTAAAAGAATTAAATAATAAGTAAAAATTCTTTTTTTTACTAAATATAATACTATTTTCTAAAAAATATTTTAAAAAAAAATTCTTATATAATTAATTTTGCAATAGGTAATTATAAAAAAATTTACTTATAAGTTAAAAGTAATAATGTAATTATATACACATAGCACAAATAATTTTTTCATATCAGATTATTTTTTAAGTATAAAATTCAGGTAGTAATATTACATATTTTCACAAAGCTATTTAATAGCTTATAATGATAATTATTCATAAAATAATAGATCCTCTTATGAATGTGTAATATAATATAATATAATTCATAATTATAAGTAGTAAATATGTTAAATTATAAATAAATATTAAATAAATAAAATTAATTAATTAATAGATATACAAAGATAATATTTATTCAGAAGATTTGTTATAAGGTAACTATCATATTTAAAAAGATTTGATAATTTGATTTTTAAAAGAAATGTATATTTATTATAAAACTTTTTCTAGTATTTAGAAATATTGTAATTGATTATTGAAAATCCTTTTTAAAATAAAGTTATATTTTGAATTTTTTATAATTTATAGCAAAGTTAGAGAAATATTCTTTAAGCAAATCATTTATTACTTCATTATAAATATCATAAGGAATTTCAAGAATCCATTTGAATTTAATATTATTGAAAATTTTATTATTAAGATATTATATATGTAGATTCTTCTTTTCTTATTTTTTTAATTATAATAAGATACTGATTATATATTTATCATGCTATTCCTATTCATTTATTAAGTTTTAACTGCTTCTCTTGGTTAGGATAATATGAATACATTGTATCTTACATGCTAGAAGTTTCTTCATTATCTTCTTAAAACTCTTGAATCTTTTGAGCAGTTTCTCTTCTTTTATAATTTATGTCTAAATGTAATTTATTATATCATGTTACAAATACTATAATAATTGCAAGCAAATTTTCTACAGTTTTTTAGTTTTGATATCTTTGGTATAAACATCTAAACCAAGTATCACAAGCTATATCCTATTTTTTCAAAGATCCACTTCATAAGTTCAGATCTAAAACAATATAAGCAATTTTTTTAAATAACTATTATTTTTTGATTTCTTTAGAGTATATTTATCCTAAAAGGTAACAAAACCCTGCCCTTTCAATTGAACTCTAAATCAGAACAAATCTTGGCCTTTTGTATAGGTTGCCATCATTTTCAAAAACTTTGTGTATATCTGAATCATTTTCCTTCAAATGTTTTGATAATAATAATATCTTTAGAAGTAATCCAACAACATAATTTTTCAACTGAGACATCATATGTCTCTTGGATTTACTTGCATTTTTGTAGATAATCTTATTCTGATCCGGTTGTAAAAAATGTGATTTGTTTTAGGAATATGAGTTATTGACAGAAACTGTATTAAAATTATTTTTCCTTATAATGCGAAGATCTATACAAAACCGTATTAATTAATCATCAAGTAGATTTGTAGTACGAAAATTGTCGGAAATCATTCATGATCAGCTGCGGTCTGAACCGTTTCTGTCTCGTGTTTTTCCACGTTGAATAAAAAAATGGGCAAACCTTTTTATCATAAATATCATAAATTTACTTCTTTCTCTTTTATCATTAAATAAGCTAAAAAGAAACTTCATATGCCGTCTCAATATTCGGAAAAAACACTCCAAAGTAGAACTTCGCGTCTTGTAAAAATCATCAATGGACGTATAGTTCGCGATCATAAAATTATCAATGATGATGTACTCTATATATACGAAGGAAAGATCATTGATCCACAAAATCATTTTTTTACATACGGTAATTCACCCGATACCGTCATAAACGCCAAAGGATTATTGATCGCTCCAGGATATATCGATATACAAATTAATGGAGCTTTTGGGGTAGATTTTTCTGTTTGGAAAGACGATAAACAAATGAAAGAAGGATTGGATAAAGTCGCGAAAGGTTTACTAAAAAATGGTTGCACCAGTTTCGTTCCTACAATTGTTAGCTCTCCAAAAGAAATTTATCACAAGGTGAATGACTAATTATAATCTCTTTATTATATTACCGAACTGACTTATTACTCTAATAATAAGGTATTACCATTGCTCAAACCACGTAAAGGCAATAAAGAAAATGGCGCAGAAGTATTGGGTGCACATGTTGAAGGACCTTTTATTACACATAGTAAACAAGGAGCTCACAAAGAGTCTTATCTTCGAACAGCACCAAATGGCTTTAAAGATTTTATCGATATTTATGGATTGTATGATCATGCGGTAAAACTCATAACTGTAGCTCCCGACGTTGAGGGAGCTTTAGACAGTTTGGAAGGTTTGATAAATTTTGGTATAACCGTTAGCATAGGTATTCTTTCTTTATGTATCGTTAAAAGTTTATAGTAATTTGTGATTGAAGAATAACTTCAAAAAATATTTCTTTTTCAGGACATTCCTCAGCAACCGTGGCTCAAGCAGAATTAGCGGTTGAAAAGGGGGTAATGTTTCTTTTATGAATTGATTAATAAGTTTTTTATCTTACTTATTTATATTTATTTTCATACTTTTGAATTTTACAAGGCAAAGTGTATCACGCATTTATTCAATGCTATGCAACAGGTAAATTCGGCTTCCTTCCTTCCTTTGAACGACTCTCGTATTTACACATTACGTCACATTCCCTCCTATGTACTCTTGCTTCGCATAGTTTCATCATCGCGATCCTGGTATAGTTGGTCTGTTAGGAACCACGCGATTAGCGAGACCATTTTATGGCATTATTTGTGATGGCACTCATGTTCACCCGAATTCGATAAAAATTGCCTATGACTCACATCCGAGGGGTGCTATTCTTGTCACCGATGCGATGGCAGCGATGGGTCTCCCTCCCGGTAAGTATCACCACTTTATATATTGATTTCTAGGAAAATCAGGTTCCGTGAATTTTTCAACAAGCCGAGATTTTTTTTTGGTTTTTGAGGTGAGATTAAAATGCGAATAAGATCTTAAGTTTTAGTTGAAAAATTCTCGGTACCTAGCATATTATAAGTTTAGTATTAATCTTGTTCCTTATTCCTTTAAAAAGGAGAATACTCTTTAGGTGGGATTCCGGTTCGTAAAAGTGGCAATGAAAAAGTTGAAGTGATAGATAATGGTAAATTAGCAGGATCTGTGATTACTATCGATGCGTGTGTCAAAAATTTTAAAAAATTTACTGGGTGTAATGTAATTGAAGCAATTGAAGCGGCCACTTTGCATCCGGCCGAACTTTTAAACATTCAAAATGTTAAAGGAACTCTTGATGTAGGAGCAGATGCCGATATAATTTTCTTGGACGATGATCTCAACCTTGTAAAATGTTTTATCGCGGGTGAAGAAGTTAGCATATCCTAGATAAGGAATGTATTGAATAATAACCATACAGATCACGTAAATAAATTGAAGAATATTGATCGTTTAAAGTGTTTATTATTAAAAATCATAAGTAAAAGAATAGAAAAAATCAAAAAATCAAGATACTTTTAAAAAAAAAAGATTTTTTTTTTTTTTGACAAATGGTAATTAAAAAAAAAAAAAAAAAAAAAAAAAAAAAATAACAAAGCTTCCTTTGCTTGCCAAAATTGTGATAAATTCAATGAATATTTTTTTTTAGAGATGTAAAGACCGTTGATTAAAAAAAGTTATCATTATCACACATGCGTTTTACAAAGATTTAGCAGCAATGCGGTGTTTCGATACGAATGTTTTCCAGATTTTGATCAATCTTGAAATTTATAAATTTGTTAATAATCAATGAAAAAATAAATTCATTATTAAACAAAGATTGATCCTATTACCGATCAATAGTTGTCACTTAAACAGAATCGTCATGGAAAGCCCATTGAGTTTGTTTAGGAGACGCTTTGGCGGTCTTCACATAATGACTGTTATCCGGAGGAGGTTCTTTACACGTACAACTCGATAACATTGATTGTATCGAAAGACAAACAGAGCGAACGCTCAAAACTGGGCTCCATTGATTATATAAGACGTTTAAGCATATATGACCATTGCTGTAAATGTGTGGGTGTATTGGTATATCACCTATGAAAACGACTTCAGGAGACTCCATGGGATAGTTTGGACTAAACCGAAATTCCAAAGTGAAACGTTCACCAGCGTATAACGTTCCATCCACACCATCAAGGGTTAACTTCCAGCTTTTGAATGTGTCTGCTTCCGTTACTTCAATTCCTGACGGTGGGTTAATTTTAAGATCAACTAATTCTTTGGAAAGTCGTTTTGTAAATAATGCAGACATGTTTTATTTTGAAACAAAAATAGGTTATTCATAATTACTTTTATAGTGTGTTGGAATTTACATTTTTGGGCGTGTGACACTACAAAAGATCATAGTGAAGAATGATGATCAGTTTCAAACCGGGGGATCGATTTATCATCTCGTTTCGAATTTCCTTAATATAATTTAATTGCATTTAAAATTTTAAACGAGTAAAATGAGCACGAAGTCAGATAAAGATACTTTAATTGAAATGGGTTTTCCACCTGATAAAGTGTAAGTAAACATTTTAAAAGAGACAAGAGGGTGATTTTGTGAATTACTGAAATTCCCGTTATGAATATAACGTAGGGCACGAGCCTTTCAGGCAACCAAGGGAGCAGGTCTGCAACCTGCAATGGATTGGTAAGCAAAATTTACTTTCAAAATTGTAAATCTTTTTTCGTACCTTATATATATAATTCATAAGATTATTTATCATATGTTGTCCCATTGGTTTTATTAAGGATACTTTCTCACCCTGGAGACCTTGACGAACCGGCAGGTGGACAATCTTTAGGTGGACAACCTAGTGGAGAAGCATCAGGAAGTGAAGCGACAGCTTCGTCTTCCGGAAATAGAGATCCGAATTTAGATGGGGAAATTCAAGATGGAGAACAAACAGCACAATCATTAATATGTAATGATTGTCAAAAAATGTTTCGCGATGGTAAAGTTTATTAAATCTTTTTTTTTTTTTTCCTTTATTTAGATAATTTCTCTTGTCCTTCTGTAACTGAATCTCTTCAAACATAATAGGAGCTGCTGCGGAACGTCACGCATCCAGATCAGGTAAAATTTAACCACAATCACAATTTATTCAAAATTCAAGATAACTTAAATGAATATGAAATTTTACGTAGGACACGTAAATTTTTCCGAATCAACCACCCCTATCAAGCCACTTACAGAGGAAGAGAAGGTGGCTAAACGAGAAGAGCTGAAAAGAATTTTGGCCGAAAAAAAGGAATCGCGACTTCTTCAAGAAAAGGAGGAAGAGAAACTTCGGGAAAAGGTCCGAAGAAAGACAGGTAAAGAATTAACCGAAGCAAAAGAAAAATTGGAAGAAAAAGAAATGCAAAAGATATTGTTGGCTAAAAAGAAGGAGAAGGAAGAAGAAAGGCTTGCAAAGGCTAAAATAAAAGCACAGATTGAAGCCGATAAAAAGGAACGTGCGAAAAAAGTATGATGTAATTTTCTTATTTCTTAAAGATTACATGATTACTTTTGAAATTTATTCCGATGATTATATTTGTATATAGCGTGAAGCTGCTAAACAGGCGGTCCTCGAGGAACAACAAAAAGAAACTGCTGCATCCTCTGTCGCCCCAAAAGAATATACCGAAACACGATTACAGGTTTAATATTATTCATTCATGTAATTCATATAAGTCAACCATTTGCTTCATAATTTATACATGATATTTGAATTTCTCAATGCAGATTCGACAACCTTCAGGTGCTCCTATTACTCACACTTTTCAAGCCACAGATACTTTGGAAGTTGTATATGAATTTGTTGGGCAGCAAGTTCCCGGATCATTTAAATTGATGACAACTTTTCCAAGGTTATTATAGAATCAACGAAATGCGAGTAAATTATTTTGTCCTTAACTCTAACATTTATGGTTTTTGTTTCCTTGTAGAAAAATTCTTGATGGTGCTGAACGGAGTAAAACTTTAAAGGAATTGAGTAAGTATGATATATGGGGTGAGCTCTGGCAAAAAGGGACAATTTTTTCCAATTTTTTCCACGTGCAAACTTTGATTATTACCTAAAAAAAAATTTTTTTTTTTTTTGTTTTTGCAATTTTTCTCACTCATCCCATTTCATTCATGTTTAATAAATCCTTTTAACATTCGATTTTATTTATAGGTCTCGTTCCATCAGCAGTCTTGGTAGTCTCAACATAACAAGGGTAACATTTGTCATTTTTTTTAAAAAAATCATTATTATAGCAAGAGTTTCTATCATAAATTCATTTATTCCCGTCCTTTCCTTTATAATAATAAAATGTTTTACAATTGAGAATTATAATTGCCAATAATAATTGTATCTTTAAATCCTTCTACCTTAATTATATAAAATTACTAATATGAATCTAATATGAAAAAAAAAACCAAAATAAATAATTACATGTCGTTAATGAATACAAATGATGCTAATAAATGAATGCTATGAGATATTTTCTACGAATACATTGAACGTTCAATTTGTGTAAATAAATCTTCCATAAAGTCCATTCTATATAATAAATAATGCCCACCACCTTCAATCACATTAAGTTCAATATTATTCATTCTATTATTCATGTACATCCAAGCTTGTATCGGAACATTTTCATCAATATCACCGACAAATGCTTCAATTGGATAATTTGTTTCCTCATATGAATAACCCCAACTCACTTTTTCTAATGCTACCATCGCATCAATATGTGCGCCCGTCCTATTTTGAAGATTCCATAACCCATTTGCATATATTTGTTGATGAATGTAACTCCTTCCGGGTGAGATTGAAAATGCTATGTCCGCGTCTTCAATTCCATCGTCAGCATCCGACGTTGTAGAAGTGGAGGTTGAGGTTGATACACGCTTTGGTGATTTGACAGGGGAGGAACCTAATGTACTCCACATATTAATAAAATTGTTCATGTGCGGAAGTGTACTCAAAGTCGTACGTATTAAAAAATTTGGTGCGTATCTAGCAATTCCTTTATACATGGTTGAAGTTCCTGGTGTTTTGACTGAAAGCCAAGGGGAAACCATAAATATTGGTCCTTTTAATCTCTCTGGAAAATTTAAAGAATATGCTAATCCATAAACTGCGCCTAACGAAAAAGTTGCCAAACCAAATTGCCACATTCTTAATATTAAAGTTAACTCATTAATCATATCAGCAAATTCGAAAAGGTCTGGAACTCCAGGTTCAGAATATATGTCATCACTAGCATTATATCCAGGACGGTCAACGCATACAAAACGAATGCGATGTCGTTTGGCGATATTATGATATAAGAGGATTGAAAGAGCGGGTCCCATATTACCTTTAATAGAGGAAAAAAATAAAAAATGAATATTATTATTATTGAAAGCATATAGGTTTGTTATCAAAAAAATTTTGAATACTAACCTGTGAACCAAAGAACAGGGTACCCATTGGGATCGCCACATTCGACCACACCAACCTTTTTACCACAACTTGCAAGTGTAATAATTTGTCGAGAACGAGGACTATTCAATAATTGTTTTGCCTGCTTCAAGGTCATATTATGTACATACATATCCTCGTTGTCTGAATAATCACTTTGAGAAGAGGTTCCATCCAACATGTTTTGAAGATAATTTTATATATATATGTGTGTGCGTGTGTGTGTATGTAAAAATAAAAATAAAAATAAAAATAAAAATAAAAAAAAAAAAAGAGTGTACTTTTTATATTATATATAAAATAATGGGAGTGGTCGATAAGGTAAAGGAGGTTTTGAGAACAATTTGATTGACCTTATACGGGAATTGTATGCAGAATTTGAATGCATTTCCGCGTGCTCAGCGGCTAATTCGGATCACGTTTTTGTTTTATCATTTAATATTTAATTGGGATTGCACAATACCATGCATTTGTTTGTTGTTTTATGTATTTTCTTTTTTCTTTATTAACCTGTAGAAAAAACCGGTTTTTTTTTTTAATACCAACTATACAAACTATAAATTACCATTGTAAAAACTTTATCAGTTTTGGGCGTTTGAATTTTATTTTAATATGAACGAACCAAAAATATTTCGTGTCGCAACTTTTAACATACGCTTTGATAATAATGAAGTTCCTGCCACTTCTGTAAATAAGGTTTCATCAAATGTAACTGGTGAAACCCCGTGGCAGGTTAGACGTGTTAAAGTTGCCGACACAATACTTTTTCACAGAATTGACCTCGTTGGTATACAGGTAAAGAAACCTTATTTCCGAAACAATTCTTGTGTGTGTGTAATGAAACTTTGTTTATTAAATTAGGAAGCTTTGTATAACCAAATCAAAGATTTGGAGCTTTTGCTTGGTTCTAATTGGGGCTGGGTTGGAGTTGGAAGAAATGATGGGAAGAAATCAGGAGAGTTTGTGCCAATTTTTTATAACAAGTAATTATTATGTTTAACTAATCTTTTTTTTTTTTTTTTTTTGTTATAAATGGCTAATATTTATGAACAATAGAAATCGATTGAAATTATTGGATTCTAAACACTTTTGGCTTTCTGAGGTTAATTTATTTCTATTTATATGGTTGTATTTTACCTTAATGAACAATCATATTTTAATGATTACAGAACCCAGATATTCCCGGTAGCATAGGCTGGGACGCCGCACTTACGCGTAAGTAGTTTTGCTACAAAAAAAAAATTCTGAATATAACGCAATGATATTAAAAAATTATGTTTATTTTATATGTTATGTAGGTGTTGTTACTCAAGCAAGGTCTTTTTTTTTTTAATACTATCAATCTTCCTTATTTATTTTTTTTCTATTTCTTTAATCGACTTGTTTTATCCTTTTACAGATTCCAAGATTTATTGACAAATTCTTCATTCGTTTGGATCAATACTCATTTTGATCACTTGGGAATAAAGGCTCGATTAGAAAGTTCTAAATTGTTATTAAACCATGCTCGTAAATTAGCTTCATCAAGTTCACCAACAGTAAAAGTGTTTTTATCGGGCGATTTTAATTGCGAAGAAAGTAGTGAGGCTTATAAATTACTTACAGGAGTAAATCATCAAGATATTATTAAATCAAATGATCAAAAATCTATTACCACTATGATTTTCGCTGATACTCGTTATGAGATTAATGGTCTTAAAGGAGGATCATTTGGCTTTTCCAATACTTTTACGGGATTCTCAGAAGGTACGAAACAGGAAAGAATTGATTTCATTTTAGTTGATAACATTAGCATTTCAACACGAGCTGTCGAAGTAATTAGTCATGGAGTGGTGTCGAATCTTTACGATGAAATGTACATTAGTGATCATCGTCCAGTAATTTCCGACTTGCTCATTCGTTGAAAGAATTTATTTCCGTAAGATAGATTTTTTTTAATAGCCTTATTTCATCTAATAATATTTATTTAAATCATATAAAATTATTTTTTTTTATTTCATAATTTCATAACGAATTAAATATAAACTACTTAAACAAAAAAATTATAAATTTATTTAACTTTTTGATAAATTGGAACTTTGTTGATTTTACCTTCCAAATTCGGAAGGAAAGTGATTGAAGAGATAGCTTTTGCAAAATCTTTATGGCATCCCTAACCTTGTTCATAACATTACCAACGCGATATGCAACATTCGGATGACCAAAATTTCTTCTAATAGGGAAGAACGGGGTCTAAAAATTACGAATTTATGTGTAACAATGTAATTTGGCCAATCAAAAAAATGAATATGTGGCCAGAAATTACATAATCATGTCGATCAAAACTATTTGTAATCATGTGATAGACGTCGCGTCTCAAATATCAGAGATCTCATATCTTCGAAAAAAAAAATTAAAACTTTTTTCTCCAAACGACAAAATGTCCGACTTACAAGGTATTTTCAAACTTTTTTGAATCTAGTAATTTCTTTTCGTAGGACATTATTACCTTCCCTTCGTGCGATGTTATCACTTCTTTGCAGGAAGGCTTGAAGTGTTACTATATTACCATATTCACGGGATGCGCATACCTCCCATTTCGGGTTGCATCTGCCCTTTCTACGTACTGGGGAAGTGCTGTATACCTCATTGTATTGGAGTGAATCTCCCTTTTCGCCTTCCTGAGTACCCTTCCAATTGTGGAAGTGCTATAACTTCTGTTCTCATTTTAGTTTCACCACCAACATATAGTAATCGTGATTGTTGTGGAAGGCCGGAATTCTCCGTTATGTGTAGTGGCGATATACAAGGGTTTACCGAGAAACAACTTAAGATATGGTTAGAAGGCGCGACCAACATTCCATTTGTACACGTCATCAAGAAAACCCATAAAGCGGTGTTGGACAATTGGACAATTTTGGACGATTTTGGACAGGTTTTGGACAAGTTTTTCTTATGTCCAAAACCTTGTCCAAAACTATTAAAATCTAAAAATATGTCCAAAACCCATCACTGCCATAAAGCGTAAGCTTACAGATAAAATATCTTTTGAAATATGATTATTGCTGATACTGTTTTTTTTTTTATAGATACGGCCATATCCATTTCGGCTGTCACCCCGACGCGAGTAAATTCTTTCATCGTTACAAAGATCTCATTATGGACGGACCTCAGAAGATTGGGATCAGATTTGCGCCTCAAATTATTTCAACACAAATCGGAAGGTTGTTATTTGGAGGTAGGTTTTTAGTGGATGCTTTCTCAGATTCCAATATTTTTTTTTCACCTTTTCATTACAATTTTTAGGTACCAGGAAACAACAACCCTAGGATTGAACCACCTTCAACAATCCTTGAAACTGAGGAGCAACGAAATCAACGAAATCATGAAGAAGAACTCGAGAAAGCCCGTAAAGAAAAAAGACCAAAAATATATAATGAAGGACGGCCAGGAAACAAAAAACCTAGGATTGACCCTCCTTCAACAATCCTTGAAATTGAGGAACAACGAAATCACGAAGAACTCGCGAAGAAATATATTTTCAAGAACAGCTTGGAACTGAAGAACACAAAAAAGAAATCCCCTTTGCTATATGTGATGACGTTGAGAGGTATGTGTATGCATGTTGCTAGTTTAGTGCATTCTGTACATTCTACAATGAACTTATTTATTCAGACCCCTGGTCTAAAGTCTAAGGAGGGTCTTACGATTCGGCTATTCCAAATTAGGTTGTTAAAGACTCCTCTTTCCAGTAGTTGGCCTGAATTCCATCGTATCATGATAGCATTGGGAGTTAGTCATGTGGTGCTCGCTTTGTATAGCTTATCGCGATGGCTAGTGATTCAGCGGTTTAGACCAGCTTTAAAAGTAGCCAGCGTGTTGATTACAATGAAATTAAGGTCATGGCCGAGCTTGAAACTTTTAACATGCCAGGAACAGTAATCGTTAATCTTCCAAATAACCTCAGCCTTAATCTAAAACTTCCAAAAAGGTTTGTTACAAAAGACATTAAAATATGACCGATCCTATTGACTATAATCTTACAGAGTCATTTTTTGAATAGAGTTGATGAAGAATCCATATTTCAAGCCTATCTAGTACCTAGATTCAAAGAATTATAGAACGTTTCTCTGTGTAATTATCTATCACGTGATTATGTGAAGACACGCTGTCACATGATTACTGCGCCAAATTACTGCATATATATCCGTTCACAATTTCGCATCATTAATATATTAAGTATTTTGCCCATATCGGGCCTAGTGTTTTTAAACATATAATTATAATTATGAAAAAAAAATTATTAAGGAATGATTGTCTGTAAGGCGCTTCGCATCTATATTAGTAATATATAATAAGTAAGGGGAGGGCCAGAAAATACGTCATTTTTATTTTGAGGATTTTGACTCCTGTCATCATTTTTATTACTTTTAAATAAGAAAATCATATAGTAATGTTATCCTAGGTAGACCCCCTCCCCCTTAGGAAATTACGTCATTTCTGGCCCTTCCCTAAATTGTGTTTACAATCTGTATTAATAAAAAATTTTTTTCTTGGCAAAAGTTGCTGAGTATTGGTTAGGATGTCACGTGAGTTTTTTTAATTTTGAATACTAACATATAGAACATAAATAATATTATATTTAGTGATGGGATTTTTTAAATTTTAACTTAATAATTTTACTTAATAAGTAATTAATAAGTGCTTAATAATTAATTTATGATTATTGCTTTTTAATCTATATAAATTAAAATATATTAATAAATAGTTAATAATTAGTTAATAAATTATTAATAATTGTTAAAAATAATGATTAGCTAATAATTTTACGTAATTTTAGTCTTTTAAAATCGATTGATAATCAATTTAACATTTTACATAATCAAGTTTGTATAATTACAGTTATTATTCTAACTATATATGCTTAAAAAATGCTATCAAAAAAGCAAGAAAAAAAAAGGTCTAATTTGGTTTCACTTTATTGAAGGTCCATTGCTTAATAGTTCTTACTATGAAGCACAATGTAAATATTGTTATAGAAAAATGGGTAATGTACCTACTAATATGTTAAAACATCTTAAAGAAGAGTGCTCTAATATTAGTGAAGAAGTTTGTCATATTCTTTATAATTTAAAATATATAAATAATAAAATAAAAAAAATAAACATCTTCATGTAAAGCTAAATTAAGTAATAACATATACTGAACATATCATATGTCGATCATGACAAATGATATTTATATAGATGTCAATCAGTTAATCAACATAATTTTATATGTTTTTTCAACTACTTTTTTGACTTTACATATACAGTGATCAAAAAAAGTAATTAAAAAAAAATACTATTCAATAAAACATGATTTTCTTTTATATTATTAAGCCAATCAGCTTAAAATTTCACATAGTGACATAATGATCATAATAATAAATGATCAACATATTTATTTGTTTATTTAGTTTTAGCCTTCAAAATTTTTCTTTTGATAACTATAGTAAAGGTTACACTTGAATAATGATATATAATTGTAAGTACTTTATGGAGTAATGGTGTCTATAATGCTAAAACTTTATACAAATTAACCTCTTTTTCACATTTTTCTATATATGATTATATCAAAAAACTTAAAAATGATAACACTTTAAATCCTTACTTCATTTTAAAAGGCCAAAAAAACATTTTCTGAAAAATGTCATTTTCTAGATCATCTTATTTTAACAAATAAATTTTTAACATGTGATGAACTTGCAAATATTTTGAACAAAAATTACACGAACTTAATATAACTAACTAGAATGTACTTAATGAATTTAATAATCTTAATTATGTTAATACTATTCCAAAATCTATACCCTTATTAATAGATATTTAGAAGTAGCATAAAGTGAAGTTTGCTATAAAATACAGAAGACAAAATTGGAATAAAATTATTTTTTTTGATGAAACCATATTCCAAATGTTTCAAAATATCCAAAAAGTTTTTTATAAGATTAACACATAACCTTTACATAAGCCTATGGTAAAATATCTATATAAAGTTCATGTATAAAATACTTTTAAACAAAAGATCCAATTGGTTTTCTTCTTTTTACAAAAATAATTAATAAGAATTTTTATCGTAAAATTTTAACTGAAAACCTATTTGAAAATATAAATTCTATAATGAAGAAGTCTTAGATATTCTAATAGAACAACAATTCTAAATACATAGTTAAGAAAATCAAGAAACTTCTTTCTGCATGTTATTCAAGATTGTTAGACTGACTATCAAATAACCTAGACCTGAATCCTATCAAAAATTTATGAGTGATTTTGAAGGGATGTGTGGAGAAACAGGTTAACAAGTTAGTTCTTAAAAAAACCAGTTACTATTAATGCTTTTTGTGAAATAATCCAAAAGGAATAGAAGGGAATTGAACCAGAAATCTTTCTTAATTTAGTTCGTAATATGAAATTGAGGTTAGAACTGGTAATTGAGAGTGATGATAATAAGATACTATATTGACTACTATTAAGTAAACTTATTTATAAAGTTACAAAAAATATGTATATAAATTTTTATTTATCTATGACATTTATTTATATTTTAATTAATAAAAACGTGATTCTAATTACTTTTTCGACCACTGTAATATAACTATACAATATTACTAATATTTTTGAATTTTTGTCTTACACAAATCATTTGTTTACTTCTTAAAAATATTTTGTAAATTTTAAAAGTTAAACTGCTTGATAGTTTTAAGAAGATCTTTTCAAACATATTGTTTATTTTATGTTGATTTTAATATGTAAAAGTATTAGCATAATTAAAATTAATAAAATTTTAAAATTTAATGTATTTTAATTTATTCAAATCTCTGTTTTTTCTATAATAAAGTCTGAACAAAAAAAAATCAAAAATATTCTATATTAAATAAACTTAACGTTTCAGATTTCAGTCGTTATTTATCAAATTTTCTTTTTAGGTTACATAATATTTTTGTAAAATATTAGTCAGATGATTACTATATATTTAACATTATTATATGATGATTGTTTTAAAAATTTAATTAGTAAATGCTTCTATTCATAGGCGAATTGGTAATTAATAACTAAAATTACTCAAAATTTGTAGATTTCCTCCTTTTTTTATTGACTACCTTCTAAATAGCAAATATATTTTTTTTAAGTATTATAAAGCATTAACTAAACTATTCTCTATATAAACTACTTTTAAAATTTTAGGCCAAAATTTGTAAGAAACTTAGGTATTTTACATAGTGTAATTTTTTTGAACTGAGTAATAGATGATTTTATTAAACTTTTATTTATTAATTTATAAATTAATTTTTATTAATCAAATTATATATTCATATTATAATTATAATTATTACTATTAAAATTATAAAAGAATATTATAAGCCAAATAAAAATTTTTTTTTATTAAAATTCCAATAAGATGATAAAATCTTCAAATTTTTTTTTTTAAACTATTAAATTATATATATAATAAAGGAATTATTAATAATATTATTATAAAACTTAGCTATATGTAACAAATGATAAACTAATATAGAAAATATCAGGATTATAAGGAAAAATAGTTAAAAAAATCATTAATTTGCAAATTATAACTATTAAAATTTATTCTAATTATTATAATTATCTTCATCATTCTTCACTTCTTTAAGTAATTCATTATCTTTATTATTTTCATTAAAATTTTCTTTATCTTCTATAAAAGATTATCATAATCAAAAATTTTATCATCTTCTATACCATCTGTTTTAATTGAAATTCTACAATACTTAGTAATTTACTAATTAAATTTGAATTAACTTTTTTCTATATATCCTTTACCCATAAACATATCAAAGAATACAAAGATTTTTGATTTGTTTAGCTGAAGTTAATTCATAAGTTTTATTTATTATCTAGTTATTATAAAATCTATAAATCTATAAATAAAAATTATATGATAATTTAAATAATTATTATTTAATAATTTAATAATAATATTTATAATATATTATAAGTATAAATAAAACTTTTATTAGTTGCTATATTAAGTGATTACATCTTAGATATCAATCTATTAGAAATTACAGCTATATTAATTTTATTTTCTTTAAGTTTTTGTTTAATAGAATCATCTAAATGTTTATAAAAAAAATCTAAAACAAAAAGTAATCTAAAATTTGATGATAAATCAGTAATTCTTTTAGATTAGATATTTTCTATATTTACTAGTTCATTTTATTTTCATTAACTCATCCTTTTTTATTTGTTTTAATAAATATGTTATCTAAAAAAGTTTTTTAAGGTATTTTTTTTAATTTAAAAATATTAACAGGTGGTAATTTTGATCTATCAGCTATATAATCTAAAATAACTATAAAAATGCTTTATTTATAACTTATAATTTAATATTAATAGAACTAAAATTACGTTTTCTAAAATATATAAATTAAGTAAATCAAAAATTACAGGTATTTTATTCATATTTCCAATAAATTTTAATGAATAATCATACTATATTCTATATAGAAAAGACTTAAAAATTTTACTATTTTTCAAGTAAATCTTCTGACAAGTATTGAGATACTATTATTCTTCATCTATTTAAAAAATCATAATAAACTATAAAATAATCTATCTATTTACTTAAAATTTAAAAAAAATATATTTAAATATATTTCTTGATAATATCAGTTTATATAATTTTTTAACCTTTTATATTACCAAATTTCTAGTAATTGGTAAACTTTATATATAATAATCTAAAATTCATTTTGCTAACTCTTACTTTAAATCTGAAAAGAATAGTTATCTATCATTATATAACTTTAATAAATAGAATGCTAAAACTTTAAATTAATTTTTTTTACATTTTCAGTTATAAATCTGATTTGATTGTAAGCTAAAATGACTTGCAATTACATAAATACTATCTAATCAGTTTAAAAATATAAAACTATTATTAGCTTTTATAAATACACTATTGACTTTTTTTTTAAAAGTTATTTTAAAACAAAAGGTTATTTTATTTTCTTTAACAACTATTATTAGAGATTAACCATAAAATGCTAAATAATACAAAGTAAAACATGTTATAAATTTTTTATACTATAATCAATATA